GCAAACTAATTAATTGAATATGGTATAATCATGGTCTCCAAAGAGTGCTACAAAATGAAAAGATTAAAACATCTCTTAATATTTAAAAATTTAAAAATCATCCTTAAAAAACCTTACTTTGTGTATTTTTAAAATTTGCTTGCTACATTTATAAAGTAATACATGCAGATACTTTAAAAACAAAAACACATACAATATTGGAGTAAATGCTTAATTTTTAAAAAACTGTGAGAAGTACATAGTGAAAACCCAGATAACTCTTTGTATAGATAAGCACTCAAAAAAATCTATGGCTTCATAGTGTCAATTACTCTATTTTTTTATTATTTTATTTTTATTATATGCATAATTTTATAATTAATTAGTATTAATGTTATTATGTTCACAAAAGTAATATATATTAATTGTAGAAAACTAAGAAATTGTAGAAAAATATAAATGAAAAATCATCTGTAATTATCTGCCCCTTCTCTAAGTATATACACAGTATTTTGTGTGTATTTAAGTGTCTATATATAGAGAAACATAATTTTTCAAAATTGCTGTCCTACTATAGTGGCTGTTTTTTAAAAACCCGTTTTCCATCAATAATACATAATAAATATATTATTTTGGAACAGAATTTTAATTTTCTGGATACTATAAATTTGTAAATAAATTGTATGTATAAAATGTAACCCATTCCCTGTAGTTGAATATTTAGTTTCTTCTCCAATTTTTGCTATTTTACACAATGACTATGAACTTCTGAGTACCTTTTCTCTCCCCTTAATTCTATAACTATTAATATTTCTAAAGGATACATTTTTTTATTGTATTTTATTGAATTGCTGAGAGGAAATACATGCAAAAATTAAGATATTTGGTATGTTTTCTAAAGCTGCTCCTCAGAAAAGTGGTACCAATTTATGAACCCATAAGTGGCTTATAGGAGTCGTCTGATGCTCTCACCAACACTAGGCATCAACATTAAGAGCGACAGTGATTATTCCAATTTGCTTAGTGAAAGGGATCCATTACCTAGTTTCTAGCATGTTCCTAACTAGTAGAGAAACTGGTGAAATTCCTTGGCTCAGTTTTCCCCATGCAGGCGTCTCAACAGGGGAGGCCACAATAGACCGGGTCAGAAAAGTGCCTTAGGAATCAGGCACGGAGGGATTCGGATGCCAAATAGACGAGACTAGATTTTATCCAGTGGTTCTCAAAGGGAATGGTGCTAGACACAAGGAAGTATTTTGGAAACGTGGGTAGATGTTTTCATGACTTGGGGAGGTTGTTACTGGTAGTAGGTGGGGACCAGAGGTTCCTGCTGCCTACAACAGGTGGAGCAGGTCTGAGCAGTGAAGAACTGTCCTATGTCTTGCACAACTTTCAAATGTCCTAGTGGAAAATGTATGAGGTGAAAATTCTGATTATAATTATTCAAGCCCAGAATCTAACATATCAATGCCAAACACCATGTGCCCATTTTTAATAAACATGAAGTTTTCTACTACCATGTAAAGCTAGGGGAAAATATTTTCTTCGGAGCATTGCCAAAAGTCGTATACCATTTTTTTGAAAATTTTAACGCTAATACCTCACCATTTCTGTTATCTGCATCAATCACCAACATCACCTACTTCTAATTGACTGCATTCATATACGGCTTATGTTCACCGTGTTTCTAAGAATATGAGAAAGCATCTTACCACTTCCTCACATCTTCTGATATTGTCTTGCCCAGGAATTTATATAATGAAAAGTATTTTTATTATAACTAATTTCTCCTTCATATTACATGTTAAGGGCTTATGTTGCCTTTCACAAAATTATGTGTGTAGGTAGGTAATATTTTCTATTGGTTTTATTTTAGGAAAGTAAAGGGTACATTACTCACCTAAGTATTCTAATATAATATTTATTATAAACAGTGGTCATTGGGTCTAACAGGGTTGAAAATTGCTGCTGTGAGAATGGGAAGCAATTGCATGGGTCCTCAAACTTCTTAAACAGGGGGCCAGTTCACTGTCCCTCAGACCGTTGGAGGGCCAGACTATAGCTTTAAAAAAACTATGAACAAATTCCTATGGACACTGCACATATCTTATTTTGAAGTAAAAGCACAAGCGGGCAAAAACACCTGCATGTGGCCCATGGGCCATAATTTGAGGACACCTGAATTAGAGCATTGGAACTCAGTGGTTGAATAGAGTGTTGCACAGTGACTGTCACACTGTTGAGAGGCCACAGAGTGATTGTGTTCTCAAAAATAGTCTCACACATGTGCACAATACTTGCTAGCACACGCACATACTTACACCCTCCAATCAAATAATTAACTACCAAATAATTCCTCTCTCCTTCTGCCACCAAAGAAAGACTCATCACAACACTGATTCTGAAATCTGACAGTTCAACCTGATGCTAGTCTGAATCAGAGGGGCAAAGTCTTATTCGATTTATTTATTTGTTTGTGATTCTCTATCCAGGATAAACCTTGAAATAAATTTTTAGTGTGCTTTAATTACACTCTGGGTTATAAATCATATACTTGCATTCTTATACTACAGTAAGCATAAAACCACATAGATCGACAATAGATATATATGCCTCCCTTCCCCCTTGACAAATTCACACACGCACACCCACACACAGAGAGAGAATCAGAGGAAACCAAGAACCTCAGGACCAATGATAGTTTGTCTGCAGTATATTTTTACTAATCAGAGACAGCCACAGCAATTAAAGTTGTGTGATATCAGATCAAGCAAGGGGAACCATGGCTCTAATTGCCAAAAAGCATTTCCAAAATAAAGGGATGGAGAGCCATGGATATTAACTATTTAAAAAAATCAATGTTGGCCAATATTGGGGCCAAAAGAGAATGGCTCAATTCATGTTCAATTTTCAGTTAAGATGAAAAGTATATTATATTCTGAATTGTCTGAGTTTAGCTCAATATATCCATCCTCAATTTCACATGTTCTGAGAATAAAAAGTAAACAAAGAGTAAGTCCAAAATATCCCCAAGCATAATAAGACTACCCAGTTATTCTGATCCCCATCTATGCAACAGTACTGAGTCAGTATACAAACATCACATTCTTGGTTGCTTTCCTTAACCATCAGAAGAGATTTCTAGCTTAGGGAGAAAAAATGGCAACCAGGTCTTTCTGAGCTTGAAATAGTTTCTCTCCCTACCCCACCAAAACTGTCAGTTGAATTCCATCAGTGAAAAATATTCCTCCAAACCTCACCATTGTCCAGTTCCTGTTTCTTTTTATGGGTTACTTACCATCTGAAATGTATTCTTAAGCACTTGGCTATTTGCGGTGTGTGACAAAAATACAACGCAGATCCCAGGATCCACATTAACTCCCTGAAATGGGTAATGAAGGGCTTGTCTCGGCAAGGGCACAGACAACACCATCCATCTCTCCCCATCTCTGCTCCCTGCTGTCAGATTTGATAAGAGGTAGACTATTTATATATCGGTCATCTGTTATGTCATAGTGTAGGAGGTTTACTGAGCCATGAATAAACAGAAAATGACCTGAGGCTAAAAGGACCTGGGGCCAGGTGAGGCTATCAATGGCCATGGCTCGTATGCCATGCTCTCTTCTCATCCTCCTCATTAGGCTATGGTAAAAATTCTAAGCTCTTTCCCATGGGAGAAGGCATCATGACCCTCCCTCTGCCTGTCACTCTCATCTCACCTCCTATCACTGCTCCTTTGCATCCCTGTGGACTTCCAATCACGTTCTCCTCTCTTGAGCCTCTGAGTATTCATGCTGCGATTCTTCCAGGAATCCGCTTCTTTGTAACTGTCCCTGATGGGCATTTACTTACTGTTCAAGGATCGGCAACAGTGTCACACACTGCTGGTGACCTTGTGATTGTCCCTTTACTCATTGTCTCTAGGAGCACAAGCCTCTCAAGTGCAGGAACCAAGTCCTTTTGACGACTGTATCTCCAGTGCATAGCACAGTGAGCACTTGGTAAATGCTGCTTGCTTGCCTGACCAGGAAGCTTTTCCTGTCTTCTAAAGGGCAAGTGGAAGGGCTATTGACCATAAAAGCTGTTAAAAGAATCATGGTTTCCCCACTGAGGGTAGGGAGAAGTCAGAGCTAAGGGTCATGAAGTCACCTCTGCTTACCTTGAGAAGGAAGTTGCAAAGGGAAGGGGATTGCCTAACTTTGACGGTACCAACCATTGGGAACTTGCACTCTGCATGTCACAGCCACAGGGGATCTGCCATGGGTTCATGTTCAACATATATTATATTCGTATAGCAGGGGAGTGGGATCAAGTTGTGTCACTCATGAGACTCCATAGTTCTTGGAAATCTGGACTAGCAGCAGGATTCTAACTGGCAGGGCCATGCCAGGCGAGGAGTAACTGACATACAAGCAGTCCCTGGAGACTGGGGCTTCTCCTCACTCTGGATCATCAGCCCTCAACAGCTGTGTGTGAAGACAGTTGCAAGCACATTTTATTCTAAGATCAGTGGAATCCCATTGCTAGCATCTGTTTTCTCTTTTATCATGTAAGCCCCTTGTGTGCAAGATTCAGAGACTTTGTTGGTGAAGAGGACAGAAGGTCTCACATTCACAAAGGGTATCAGACTTAGGCTTTTAACATTATTTCCAAGTAATGTGATACAACAGTCACAAGTGCACAAGCAGAGCTGAAAGAAGTTGTCACTCATCATACAACTTTAACCTGTGTCCCATTATCAGATGGCACTTTCTGAAGTGCACTGTGAATCAGAACTTCTAATAAATTCTATAATTATCTTGCAAACAGCACAATTGTTTTGAATTTGTGTGTACATGTCAAGTGTGTTAATTTGTTAAATATAAACAATGTTTACAACTGTTTGTACATTACTTTTTAATGTACTAGGAGCCACCTCTTCAAGAGGCTCTAACAAGTGCAACATCTTTATAGCATCGACAGAGAATAGGCATTGAATGCATTTCATAAAAAAAGAAAAACACAATTTACTTATTACTTACCAAATTAAGTTTTTCCCAGAACTCAGGTCCTTCTTCCATGTCTCTGAGGCTTGGTGGAATGTACCAAAAGCAAATATTGGCATATTCAGGCTGAGGATTAAGAAAATTTGAAAGTTGTTTTGTTACCCTAAGATTTACCTTAGACTACAATTAAGTACATACTTCTTAAGCTCTCAGCTAGTTTCTTTAAGAGTTATCATGTGTGTGTAACTTTGAGAACAAATCAGAATCTTACAGAGTAGACATCTATTCCACCTTACTTCTGATAACAGCCTGCTGGAAAAATTTCTTCTCCATTGTGTATACCTAGAGGATTCTCTTTCCTCTAGATCAAGAATGAGCAAATATCAGGACAAAACAGAAAGTTGAAGCTGACTCAATCTAGCTTTGACCATCAGTTAGCTCCTGCTATTATACATATGCTTAGAGATGCCCTGGTTCCTCCCCCTTCGACCCTGATCCTTAAGTTATTTCTTACACTACCATATGCTTCCAATAATATTTTCTCTGCTTAAGGCTGCCAAAGTTGGCCTCTATCACCCGCTACACCTGACAAATGTAAAAGCCCTGCTTACCTGTGAGTTGATAGCAGCATGGCACACTTAAGGGTCACTAACCAGCACTGCTATGACCCTAACCAATACTGCTTTGGGGGTGGGGGGTGGGGAAAGCATCCCCTTGACTTATGACTCTCAACCCTCAGTAAAAATGTGAATCAGCTATGGATGGGGCTTGTTCAAAATGTAGATTCTCAGTTCCTGTGCTCAGAATGTCCAGAGTCTGATTAAGTCCATCTCAGAAAAGGCTATAGAATTGGCAGTTTATGAAGTATGTCAGGCGATTCTGAAGTGGGTGGTGTATGCTCCATGTTTGAGAAACTATGATGTAAACTAAGTGGCCATAGCCAAGTCATCTTCCCCACTAATCTGCTTTTCTATCAGAGATGATTTGGTTAAACGTGGGACAACGTTCCATCAGGCGTTAGCCCAGCCATTGCCACAAGGACAAGGTTCTGTCCTCACTGGACGAAAACACAGGAAATGCCCCGCCAAAGGCAATCATAAGACTTGTACTCAATGACCGGGTGATTTGGGACATTATATTGGGGGTTCATAAATTAGACACATGAAATTGTATCCAGAAAAGATTATGAGTCACACCTACCTTCCTCATTTGATGCTTAGCACTGATGGAATTTGAAATCCCTTTCATTTTGCACAACAAACACTGTAGGTAATAACCAGTGTTATAATAGTTCTCAATAACTATCAGAATTATGCCCCAGTGTCAGCATAAAGTAGTTTGAGAGTCATAAGTCAAGGGATGCTCTCCCCACCCCCAGAGCAGTATTGGCTAGGTTCATAGCAGTGCTGGTTAGTGACCCTTAAGTGTGCCATGCTGCTATCAACTCACAGGTAAGCAGGGCTTTTACATTTGTCAGGTGTAGCGGGTGATAGAGGCCAACTTTGGCAGCCTTAACAGAGAAAATATTATTGGAAGCATATGGTAGTGTAAGATAACTTAAGGATCAGGGTCGAAGGGGAGGAACCAGGGCATCTCTAAGCATATGTATAGCAGGAGCTAACTGATGGTCAAAGCTAGATTGAGTCAGCTTCAACTTTCTGTTTTGTCCTGATATTTGCTCATTCTTGATCTAGAGGAAAGAGAATCCTCTAGGTATACACAATGGAGAAGAAATTTTTCCAGCAGGCTGTTATCAGAAGTAAGGTGGAATAGATGTCTACTCTATAAGATTCTGATTTGTTCTCAAAGTTACACACACATGATAACTCTTAAAGAAACTAGCTGAGAGCGTAAGAAGTATGTACTTAATTGTAAGTCTAAGGTAATCTTAGGTAACAAAACAACTTTCAAATTTTTTAATCCTCAGCCTGAATATGCCAATATTTGCTTTTGGTACATTCCCAAGCCTCAGAGACATGGAAGAAGGACCTGAGTTCTGGGAAAAACTTAATTTGGTAAGTATAAGTAATTGTGTTTTTTTTTTTATGAAATGCATTCAATGCCTATTCTCTGTCGATGCTATAAAGATGTTGCACTTGTTAGAGCCTCTTGAAGAGGTGGCTCTAGTACATTAAAAAGTAATGTACAAACAGTTGTAAACATTGTTTATATTTAACGAATTAACACACTTGACATGTACACACCAAATTCAAAACAATTGTGCTGTTCGCAAGATAATAGAATTTATTAGAAGTTCTGATTCACAGTGCACTTCAGAAAGTGCCATCTGATAATGGACACAGGTTAAAGTTGTATGATGAGTGACAACTTCTTTCAGCTCTGTTTGTGCACTTGTGACTGTTGTATCACATTACTTGGTTATATGTTAAAAGCCTAAGTCTGATACCCTTTGTGAATGTGAGACCTTCTGTCCCTTCACCAACAAAGTCTCTGAATCTTGCACACAAGGGGCTTACATGATAAAAGAGAAAACAGATGCTAGCAATGGGATTCCACTGATCTTAGAATAAAATTGTGCTTGCAACTGTCTTCACACACTGTTGAGGGCTGATGATCCAGAGTGAGGAAAGCCCCAGTCTCCAGGGACTGCTTGTATGTCAGTTACTCCTCACCTGGCATGGCCCTGCCAGTTAGAATCCTGCTGCTAGTCCAGATTTCCAAGAACTATGGAGTCTCATGAGTGACACAACTTGGTCCCATCCCCTGCTATACGAATATAATATATGTTGAACATGAACCCATGCAGATCCCTGTGGCTGTGACATGCAGAGTGCAAGTTCCCAATGGTTGGTACCGTCAAAGTTAGGCAATCCCCTTCCCTTTGCAACTTCCTTCTCAAGGTAAGCAGAGTGACTTCATGACCCTTGGCTCTGACTTCTCCCTACCTCAGTGGGGAAACCATGATTCTTTTAACAGCTTTTATGGTTCATAGCCCTTCCACTTGTCCTTTAGAAGACAGGAAAAGCTTCCTGGTCAGGCAAGCAAGCAGCATTTACCAAGTGCTCACTGTGCTATGCACTGGAGATACAATCGTCAAAAGGACTTGGTTCCTGCACTTGAGAGCTTGTGCTCCTAGAGACAATGAGTAAAGGGACAATCACAAGGTCACCGCAGTGTGTGACACTGTTGCCGATCCTTGAACAGTAAGTAAATGCCCATCAGGGACAGTTACAAAGAAGCGGATTCCTGGAAGAACGCAGCATGAATACTCAGAGGCTCAAGAGAGGAGAACGTGATTGGAAGTCCACAGGGATGCAAAGGAGCGGATTGAGCCAGATGAAAGGATCAAATATTTGCGGAGTGTGCAACCTCATTATTTACCGCAGGACTTCAAATGAAAGGGCGGATTGGACCTGAAGAGGCAATAAATTGATAATGACATAGAATGGTATCTGGGAAAAAATTGTCCTTGATTATGAAAAGACACAAATCCTAGGAATCTAGTAATAGATGATTAGCGCTATTTTTTTCTAGCTTTCTAGTCAGTCATAGTACTATAAAAAAGTTCACATTAAAGATGCCTAGATTTGAAGTCAGTTGTTCTAGGCTAAGAGGAAACCATCAAGTTCCAGAATCAGGAAATCAAGTTAGATTCGTGTAATTTGTAAAGCTTTTTAGTCTCATGATAATGTTCTGTGGAAAATTGAGTTGGAATTACCTGGTCTTCATTTTTTAACTACCTCGATATTTTTTAAGGGATTGTAGCTCTTTTCTGTCATATCCCATAAGAATGTTTTGCAAATTCAAGATGAAGGATATCAGATCAGGACTTTGTCTTGGTTTGAGGCCTGGGGAATGTTTCCCGTGTGTGCCCGCACTTGGCATTAAATCCTTAAAAAATCCCAACTCTATATAGTACAATCTCATTTTAAGAGTATAAAGATATAGCTCTTCCTTCTCCTGAAATGTTTAAAACTTATGCTGGACCACTGGGCAGTTAATTTGATAGTTATTGAGAACTTATTATAACCACTGTTATCTACCTCAGTGTTTTGTGGGCAAGAATGAAGGCATTTTCAAATCCCATCCAGTGCTAAGCATCAAAATGATGGGAAGGTAGGTGTGATTCATAATCTTTTCTGGTACAATTCCTGTGTCTAATTTTATGGAACCCCAATATAATGTCCAATCCCCGGTCATTGAACAAGTTTTTGATTGCCTTTGGCGGGGTTTCCTGTGTTTTCGTCCAGGGGGAACAGAACCTTGGTCCCTGTGGCCAATGGGCTGGGCTAAATGCCCTGATGGAACGTTTGGTCCCACGTTAACCATTCATCCTCTGATGAAAAAGGGATTAGTGGAAGGATGACTTGCTATGGGGGGCACTTAGTGTTACATCATAGTTTCTTTCACCATGGAGCATACCACCAACCGCACTTCAGAATCGCCTGGAACATGATCATAATGCATGTCTATAGCTTTCTGGGATGGACTAATCGACTCTGGCATCTGAGCACAGGAAAACTGAAGAATCTACCATTTTGAAAAAGGCCCCTCATAACTGATTCACATTTTCTGGATGTTGAGGTTGTTAGGGAATAATAAAAGGAAAAAAGTCTTACATTTTGAAAACAGAAGCAACCATCTTTTTTCCGCCAACTGTGTTTGAACCTCAGTTAGTTGAATCTGCAGATGTGGAACTCATGGATATGGGGAGCTGGCTGTACTCGCCATTATTCCAAAAACACTGGCTGCTATATGTGCACATAGAAGCATTCCTTTTGCCAGGAATATTTTTTGGATTACAAGAAATTCCTTTTTTATAATTTTTATTCCATTGTGTTTAACTGGCTGTTCCTAGCTCCATCACAGCTAGTCTCTTAGTCTCTGTAAGTAAGTATATAGTGTAAGCCATTTTCTTATCCTGATGCCTAGTCCATATATATAACATATTAAACTTTGCTTATTAAGTAAACAGTTCAGTTGCCCTCTTTGGACACTATAATTTTTTAATGTTTCCTTCAAATATGGTACCCAGAAATTAATATAGTGATTGTCTCTCTGTACAAATTTAATGGCATTATTAATCCACTTGAAAAGACATCTCTTTCTACAATATAGCCCAAATAATAGTCACTAACCTAATAGAGCGCCTGATGTGTGCCAGG